GAATATATTATGATTTCGAACTCTAAACTGCACTTCTCCATTAATACGAAATACATATATTATGAGACAATAAATTCGAGATGCGATGTTAAAATACCACGCTGTTGCAATGTAAACTCTATCATGAACCACTGTGAACCAAGGAGAATAAAGCAAACTCTTTGTGTCAGTGCATTTCCTAACAAATGAATATGAATCCATGTCGAGATTTAATATGGTTCCCAAGGTTTTCCAGCAGGGAAATTATTACCAAGTGTTCGTTTGCAGGAATTTGATTGGTTAGAAGTTTGATCACAAGGTGACATCAGTTGGAGAACAATTGGAAAACTGTTTCATCCTATTTTGGGACTCTTCAAGAGTACGCAGTCACTGGGGTCCGAACCGAGGATCTTCCAATTTCAGTACTCCCATCAAACCTGTGAACATTCAAATCCCTGCAAACCAACACTCAGTAATGTTAATTGTATCACACGGGTTCCAATCACTGAGAGGACATTAGTTCCACCGATGTTAGAGATTCACCTTGTTGACAACTGCCAACAAGCTGAAAACCTCGATGTTGGGTTTCCTACCGACTGCTTCCTCCAACCACATAACACCAATTCCAAAATAAACCACCTATACCTTAATGACTACCCCAACAAAACTAAATGATGGAATTCAATTAGCGTCAATACTAAGAACTAGATGCATAACACTGATCACCCCCTGGAAGTCAATTAGTTTACTCCTGAAAACACGTTTAATGTTAACTCAATACATCTAAGCAATGACAAAACAAAGTTGAAGAAATCCTCCCTTACTTATTAAATTTACGAGGATTGTCAAGATTCTTCGCAAAGTTGATTTGATCACAAACAGACATCAGTTAGATAACGACTGAGAATAGAAATGCATAAGTACGTACCCACTGCCTTAACAAGTGACACTAAACCAGTGGTTATCTCACTGTCTTGAAGACATTAAATCGGTACGTTGGAACTCTTAAATAGTTCATCACTTACTAAATTAAATCTATTCACAGTATAGTGAGATTGTTTTTGGAGCGTATATCTTGTCGCTTAATGTTCTTGGATTATGTGATTCATTCATGATTTTTCTTCATGTGAAATTTTAAGTAATTTCTTACCAATCGATATTAACAACTGACATGCAGAGACCTTTCTATGACATTTGAGAATACTGTATGTAACTATACAGCTTTGAAGTGAATTTGTATATACTGTTGCAAAGTATCGGCTTCTAGGCCTGACAAGAATGAATCTGCAAACAGCTTCCCATTGCAACACCGTCGATTTGACGGAATGAACACCCATCGAATTGAAATTGCATCCTTTTTTAGTAAATGAGAGCAACAATTTCCTCAGTTCTGTTGTTGGAATAGTTATGTCATCAGCTTCTTTATATACAAAGTCAATAGTCTCAATCACTGGAACATTTGCGAATAAGGAAGTAACATTGACGTCACCAATGAGCTATTCAGGCTCATCATTGACTTCCTTTAAGACTGTATTAGTTACTTTAATTGAATACTAGATATTACTTAATAAATGTCATGTGTCTGGTCCTTTGTTTAGTACAGAGAGAATTTTATCAGTCAAGTTTGCAATGTGACCTTGAGGCGAAAAATCATAGAAACCAGTGGGTTTTCACATAAAGATGACGTTTTACTGGCGTGACCTAAAATTATCTCCCAATTATAATGAGGAGTATAAGTTTCTGTGTTAGACCAGTTCCTGTACATGTATTCATTGAGGCAACTGAGAATCAGTCCTTTTTGTGACCCATTTACCGTTCTTATCCTGTCTTCCTCGAAAGCCATCGATTGAATTAGTATGGCGGTTCCACTAAGAGGGTCGACAACTATTCACTAGAAAACTGCGAATGATAGAAATAAAAGATTCTAGCCGTAATCTTCTTTTTTTTTCTTTTGTTTACAGCTTGATTCCACACAGTACTTTTTGGTAGAAGTTTGGAATTTTCAGCATGGATATCGGTAGCCCAAATTTTACAGGCCGACAACAGATATCGGGTGTGCGTCGGCAGGTAATCGAACCCCGGACCATGTGCATGGTCGGCGGGAGTCCTAACCACTGTGCTACCCCAAACCTTGGTCGTAACCCTAACGACCTGTCAACACATTGTCCAAACAGTAGTAATAATCGAGATCGGGGTGAAATCTGCACCTCACTCCATGAATGGCGTTCAAAACGGCGCTATAATAATGGTAGTGCAAGGGTAGACTACGAAAGATTTAGTTACGGAATGTTTATTTGCCATTTGTTATCTCTATATGTAGGGAAATTATATACACCTTGACTATCTACCTCAAAGAGCTTTTATTGAGATGCACGTTGAATGTTCAGTTCACCTTCAATAATGAGATCTTTAGACAGAGAGACGGCATTGCCATGGGATCACCACTGGGTCCCTTGTTGGCTGATTGTTTTACGGAAAAGCTTGAAAATTCTCAACTTAGTCAAACCATCGGTCGTTTTGACATTTATAAAAGATACGTAGACGACACTTTCGTTATCTGCGATAAAAATGTAATTCTTGATGATGTCTTGTTTGCTTTCAACAACTGACATCCTTCTTGACAATTCACCGTAGAAAAGGAATCCGAACTAAGTATTCCCTCTCTTGATGTGTGCCTTAGCAGACGTAATGACGGATCTCTAAAAAGATCTATCCACCGGAAACGTACATGGAACGGACAACTAACTAATTTTTACAGTTGGGTGCCTATTTCCAGGAAAAGGAACTTGATTCATTCGCTCTGCTCTAGGATAAGGAAAATTTGTAGTTCTGATTCCGTTGACTCGGAACTTGACTTCTTAAAGGCCACGCTCGCAGAAAACGGTTACCCTAACCGATTTATTGACAGCAACATGAAAGACAAGCAGTCTAAGCTGGTCACCGATACAGTTTCAAAGAAAATCTTATTCATGAACTTGGAATTCAAAGGTGATCAAGCTTCAGATATACTCAAAAATCGTCTCTCTAAATCAGTCAGTAAGACGTTCTATGCAGCAAAATTACATATGACGTTCACTAGCCACAAGTTGTTCTCTACTTCTCTAGAAGATAAGCTCCCCCGTCTGGCCGCCTCCATGTGCATCTATCAGTTCACCTGCTCTTGTGGAGCAAGGTACATTGCCCGTAGTCAGAGGACGCTTTCCACACGGATACGAGAACATATTCCAGCTTGGTTTTACAAGGGAGAAAATAAGTGTGTGCGAAGTTGTATTCTGGAACACCTAATCGACTTCTGTCACTCTGTTAACCCTGACCATGATTTTAAGATCATATATAGAATCCATGCTATTTTCCCGCGTTTTCTTCGTTACAGACTTCTAAAGACAGCTGAGGCCTTGGCAATTCATGACTTTAAGCCAGACCTTTGTGTACAATAAAAGTATGTACCATCCCTACTTCTGCCTTGGCCGTAGAGGGATAGACATTTATTTATTCTGTTTATCTAGTTATTCTATGTACTCTTCCCTTATTACTACGATTATTATTGATATTATTATCATTATTATTACTATTCTCACTCTGAATCTTTTCCACTTCACCCACTTGACATTTTAAACCCAAAATTATTCATTTTTATATTTTTACAGTATTGAATTCTATCTTATCAAATTTCACACCATGTTATGTAACATTTTATATTCGTCTACTAATCTTATAATTATGTACCCCTTTCCAAAATCTATACACCTTATGTATTATTCTACATATGACAATAATTATTTTGCTACTTGACATTCAACTGTGATCATAATCACAAATATTTTAATTGGATTTCATACTGCTATTATTATTTCATGTATTCACACCTTTGACCTAATTCCCCTGCCGGATATAATTGCTTAAAAAATAAACCATATATATATATATATACGATTGTACAGCTTGATAATAAATTCGTTGAAAAGAGTCTCTTCGCTGAATATTGTGTTCTTTATCTTCAAATCACCATTTGCACAGATCTTCTGTGTTGGGCTCTACTTCTCGCCTTCTTACATATTGTGTTTCTTTGTGTTCCTTTCATGTCTCCCCCATGTATCTCCGCAACTCTGTATCATTTGCTTCCTCTAACATCAAACCAAATCTATCTATCTCCCTGCTATCTGATGTTTTTATGACGATGAACGTCTATATATATATGTATACTACTGATAAATCTTATCAGTAGCACACACCACGTAAAAAAATGTACATTTCCTAATCAACAGACACACACGCACTCACATAGAAAAACTGTTTAAGTTTGTTTACGTTAACTGATACTACATAAAGTCGTAAACATAGTACGATTTTTTACTTATCTGAATTCGCTAGACACATTACTTGAAGTGGACTTTGAAAATCGACATTGTACCCTGTAATTCACCCCCCCCACACACACACCTCACGCCACTCCCCCTTCTCGTCTTAATGGTATAAAAATTAAAAACAGGTTAAAAGTTCAATTTTATAGAAATAAGAGAATAACAATCTCTATGCAGGCACATACGAATGAGTGTATGGCTGTGTGTGTGTGAGTGAGTCTCAAACACGTAATATCAAAATCAAACACTACTACGACTACTACTAATTATATAAGCGAAAATTATCATGTACTCTTCTCGATAACACTTAAATTGGTAAAGTAAACAGAATCAACACGTTCAACAAAGTCACGTAAGCGATTATCTATCTACCTACCCACTTATCTATCTATTTATCTGTTGTTTTCAAGCAAAAACCACAATACAATACAAAAGTAATTATATGAAATAATTAAACTCTTTTTTTGGATGACGTAAAGAATATGAAGTAGCTAAGATACGGCGAATAAAAATAGAGTGATAACTTTAAAAAAAGACTTAATTTAAACAAAAAATAATGAAAGACACTATTGAACATTTGACAGTGGCATACGTAATTAATGTATAATGAATGTATCAATTACGCATCACAAAAACGCTGACGTATACACAAACACACATGTGAAAACTGAAAGACGTTGAAGTGAGTACAGAGAGTACGGTTATTCTTCTGCTTATGCTTCTCCTTCTTCTAGCTAGCTAGCTAACCAGTTAGCTGGCTAGTCGGCTGACAATTGTAAAGTGATTGTAAATGGCACCCTTTTGAAGGTATACAATATATCCTATAGGTGCATATATACATATATATATCATATAAAACGCCCCCCCCCGATTTTCTCCAAACTATGGTATCATTTCAGGAGAAGTTCTCCTATTCTCTTGTAAACAATTATACTACTACTACTACCGACAATCCACTTAAAGGTTGATGCATCACCATCACCATCATGATTTATACTCCGTTGTGAATAATCATCAGCTGGTTGACTTTTACGCGAATGAGTAGCACCACCACTGGTTAACTTGTTCTCCGTTGATGATGATGACGATGACAATCGTGTCCGATGATAAGAAAAGCATGGATTACTACAATGTTTTTTCTTCACTTCTGACGTATTATTTGTCTTGTGCATGCTTTCGTTTAAATTAGCGTCATTGTGTAGCGCATGCATTATCATTCGATCCATACTACTATTATTATTAGTAGTAGTAGTACTTGATCTCTTTGTTAATTCCCAATTATAACTTAATTTCTTTGAATTAAAATTAAAATATTGATCATCAATGTCAACAGCACCATCTGATTCATCGGATATTTCACGTGGACTACGTGCTGAATGATCTAGATGCGGATAAAGTTTTGGTAATTCATTGAAGGAAATTTGTGAAGTATACAGATTATTATTATTATTATTACTAATATTATTATTGGATGAAAATTTATTCAATGATGATTCTGATAAATCATCTTTGAAAAGGGATAACAATTGATGCATACTGAATAAAGACTCTTGACTGGCAATATGTTGTCGTGATGTTTTCAGTCCACCACTTGAAGCGACAGTATGACGTTTTGTTGGATGTTGATGTTGATGATGAAAGGAATACATAGTTGTGATCTGAAAAACAGGAGAGAAAAAAAAACGTCAATATAAAGTATTTAAATTCAAAAGAATGGATACTGAACAAAGAATACGCTTTTCGATAACGCCTTCATCATCAGGCTCCACAGTTATGAACAACATTAACGTTGTTTAAATAACATCGAATCAATAATATTGATAGATTACAGCTCAATAGCATCAACAATAAGCTGAATGTCAGAAAAATTAGGAAAGATAATATTATAAATTCATGAATTTATAGTCTCTACTGAAGGCCGACCAGGGCAGTAGTAAGAGTGGGACTTGTTTCTTTTGCACACCGAGCACTGGTTGTTTGAGGCGAATTGCAATAACCTCTGCTGTTTGGAGCATGCGGTGCCTCAATGTTTTTGGCGATTTGTTTGGTACCGGATAGATGGTAGAGACGTTTACGCCGCCTCTGGCGAAGACGTGATATCCGACTATCAACCAAAGGGTGTGTGTACTGCTCAGCAGTCCGCTCCCTTCTTCTTTATGACTAGCTGTGAGACCTGGCCATTGAGAATAGAGGACATGAAAAGATTAGCTGTCTTTGATCATAGGTGTCTGCGTTCTATTTCCCGTGTGAAGTGGTATAATAATAAGAGCAATATTGAGGTTAGGTGTCAGTCGAGTGCTAGGTAAGAAGAGGAAGTCAATCGATGAGGCTATGAAATTACATCGACTGAGATGGTTAGGAAATGTGTTACGTATGCCTAGTTATCGCCTTCCTCGATAATGGGCAATGTTAGCTGATATAGGGTCAGGCTGGAAAAGAGCTAGCTAGTGGCGGTCAAACCAAAACATGGTACCAGTCAATGAAATCTACAACAGTTAGTCTAAGCCACGTAGGAAGGTGTAGACTTCCTGACTGGTTGGGGTCCTCGGGACGGTAAAAACCAATAGTTGGAAACAATTGGTGACATGGCTCAAAATCGTTGTCAGTGGCTGGCGCAGATGCATCCACTCCTTGTGACTGACTTATGATTTCCAATGAAACTGTTTTGTCCTTCGTTATTACTATTCCTTTGTCTCACACCTCTGTTTACTGACTATATTATGCATTTCTCCTACTTTCTTCTCTTGCGTTTTGTGCTACATGGAGTGTGGCGACTTGAACTGCCGCACATATGTGCAAAGTTCTATGTCAAAAACAGACAGACAGATGGTAGAGAAGGATTCTTCAATGCTGGCTTTGTGGCTGGCCGCTTTGGACCATGTGATCTAGTATCGAAATGTTGATAGTTTTTACTATATCTTTACTCATCCACACTGGTAGAAGCTCCTGAGCAGGAAAAATCAGGTCCCTAGAGCAACGGCCAATATAACTCGCTCCACCACAAGTGCAGTTGAATCGGTAGATACAATTTGAAGTGGCTAGTCTAGCCTAGGTACTTCATCTTTCAGTCGAGGTAGCACCATCGGTCGTGTAGAGAATAATAAACGTGTAGTTCGCCAGCATTAAAACTTCTTTGAACTGATTTTCTTAATTTCTTCGTAATTATCCCACTAGGTATATCGCCCTTGAATTGCAGTCGCATATAAAGAAACTTCCATTTTACGGATAGTGAGTAGTCCTTTTCCACTTTCTTTGTCATATGTTTCTTGATAAATTTCTCGGGATAGCTGTTTTCGATCAAAGTATCATAAACAATGCTTAATTCATCTTCTAATTACTTCTTTTAAGCATATGATTATTCTTCGCATTCATAATTTAGAGGATTAATTGAATTTCAAAAGAATTTATCTGAAACTCGCCTCATAATCGGAAGTTGCTGGATTTGAACCCCAATGGGTGGGTACAGCTGAAGAGTCCCAAACAAGGGCGGAGGGAAACAGTTATTTAGTACCTACTGGTTTCCCATTGGTTCTCTAACTGATATCGGCTCTCAAAAAAGCCGGAATTTGAAAAGCAATCTAATTATGGTCAAGTTAATACTGGATTTGGGTTTATCCATGATTGTTCTATCAAAGTACACCAATATATAAACTGATCGAGAAGGCGAAAATTCCTTAACGGCAATAAGATCAGAAATTACAGTTAATTATGTACTTACTTCAGAGGAATAATAAATGATTAAAACTGTGTCCTGGACTGGACATCATGCCCTAATAAAAATCCATTGACATTACTCCTAATTTTATATTAAGGTCAAATGTCTGGTCAACAGATCACGTGAGAAACACTGACTTATTACATGTCTCCTCTTGTCCTAATAAATTTCAACTGTTAATGCATTAGAGTTAATTACGAACTGATATTAGTTAGAGAGAACTATTGGGAAACCATGGAGTATTGGATAGCTGTTTGGTCATAGACTGGGACTATTCATCAGTGTACGCACCAACTGGTATTTGAATCCAGGAGCCACAAGTTACAAGGCGAAGTCTTAGACCATTCAGCCAACGGGGACTAAGTTCAGCCGCCCATGAATTCCAACTTCTACCAGTTAGCGATATTTTGTTGTAAATGATGTCACGTCGTGATCGAATCCCTGCAAACTAACACTTGACTTTTTGATTATAGCTTGATTCCACACCGTATTTTTGGTACAGGTATAGAATTTTCAGCATGTGATATCGGTAGACCATATTTTTGCAGGCCGACCATTGATATCGGCTGTGAGTCGGCAGGGGATCGAACCCCGGACCATGTGCATGGTCGGTGAGAGTCCTAACCGTTGTGCCATCGACGCATCGTCATACTTTGGATTATTAATTCAAGATAAATTTAAATCACATACACTTCGGTCGAATTACAGTGTCTTATAATGCACTGATGTATTCACGCTGACACTAGTTAGTCGAATAAAGAACTTTTTGTCTAGTTCAACTTACATGTCCCAGTTTACTCGATGCATGAGGCGCATGTTTTTTAATGTGCAATTTAGTTGTAATGATGTCACTTAAAATCAAAGGGACTGAGTTGTCATAAGGTCTCTTTTAAAACCTCTCCTAGTCACATTCTACCATCAGTCGTACACACGTCATATTATCATCATCATGTCAAACTTTTAATCTTTTTTAATAATAATAATAATAATAATAATCACTTTATTCCACAACAATAACAATTTACAGCATGGAATTTTCAGCGTTTCATTTTACATATTGCAATGGTTTAGCTCTTTTTATAATTATATAAATGTATAAAATTTTAAAAATAGTAATAGTTAATATGAAAAATAAAAACCCCAACAAAATACACCATTTCTAGGTCATAGTGAATAATAAATAAGTAATATAACAAATCACACATGCAATAATATACATCATTACATTTTTTAGTTGAGTTAATGATTTAGAAGTTGTAAAAGTTCTTTTCTGATATTCGTCTCTTCACACAATACTCGTGCCAAATATGGTACGGTCGAATTTTTATATTTTGTAGTACGAGCATAAATGTTTATGAAATTTCTTCTGGTCTTACCCGAAGAGATACAAGGAAACAAATGTGAATAAAGAGGATGTTCACTATCAGACAAAATAACTTTAGCTAAGTGTTTACAAGAATTCATGTGCCTATTGACAACAGTGTCGGTTAGTTGAGTCAAAGGGATAGCACTGACCCTACTTACAGCCCTCAATGTTCTTCGTAGTATTATATGGTCTTTTTTGAGTAGCCCAGGGAAGAATAATGGGGAACAATAAAGAATAATGGGCAAAACACATGAATTAATAAATTGTATGAGAAGAGATTGGGTTATACCTGAGTGCCTCAACTTCTTTATGTAATAAGTCAGACGGAAAACTTTCGTAGAAACTATAAGAATATGAGACGACCAGCAAAGGTTTGAAGAGAAACTAATGCCAAGATAAGAAACACTTGACTTACTCTCTATCATGGTACCATCAATATTACAACAATCATGAGATTGGATCAATCCATGCATGTCTTTTTCATTTCTCAAGCTGAAATCAACAGTATTACATTTAGTTGGATTTAGTTTAAGACCATTTGAGCTAGACCAATCCTTAACTTCAGCTAAGAAGCCATTCATATGGGAACAATCCAATGTGGAAACTACAGGGACAGAAACGGTCAGATCATCAGCATACTTAATGAAGTTAACGTTGGGTGAGTTCGGAAGGTCATGCAAAAAGAAAGAGAAAAGAAATGGAGAAAGTACTGCACCTTGAGGCACACCACTTTCAGTTAGCTGAGAAGTGGAGCGCTTTCCAGCCAAAACAGTATGCTGTTTCCTATCCTTAAAATAAGAAGACAACCCTTGACCTACTTTTCAAATCTTAATACTGATTCACTTAGTTAATAATCTTTTAAAACATTGTAATTCACATTCAGTTTAACTCTGTCTGTTTAAACATCATGTGAATTATCTTTATTTATTTAAATAATACTGATTTATTTATTAGAAAGTGGAAGAAAACAGATAAGGGTAATTTGTTATTTTGTTTATTTTTGTATGGAGCCGTATGAAGCTGATGAATACCTCAAGACAGACAAATCTGTATTTTTTTAGACCAACATTAAATGAAGTGTGTCCTGACGAACTTCTTCATATTTTTCTATACATTAAATTGTTCTATGCATATTTTTGATTGAACACTAGTCAGTAACTAGTTTAATGTGTCTGTTCGTTTGTTTGCTGCAGACTGAATTCTATCCGTCAAGTTTACAATGTGGCCACCATGCCACTAGGTGGCTCACCATCACGGTGCACTGTGAATTGTTGGCATTAGATGGTTGGAGGCAATTGGCAGGTAACCCTTGGACTCTACTGATAGAATTCAATCTGCACCAAACAAAGAACTAGACACATTACTCTAGTTACTGATTAGTGTTCAATTGAGAGAGAAAAAATCCAATACACTCCTACAGAAGGTGAATCGCGAGCCTGAATAACTAACTCAGTGGCTGGTAACGTGTCTCTGACTGCAGTGCTCACCAGGTAATGCGGGTTCGAATCTCCTCAGAAGGGACATGAGTTGTTCCTTCAAGGTTGCAGATACGCCTTTCTGACTGGTGAGTGCCAACT